ACATTCCTTCATGTTAAAAGTCCAGAAGAGACAAGAGTTAGAGGGAATGTATTTCAAAATGATAAAGGTTATCTATGACAAACCTATAGCCAATATCAGACTAACTGGGAGATAAGACAAGACTGAATAGCCACACTTAGAGGAATAAAACTATATTCCTGTCTATTGCCCCACACAAAATCCAACTCTAAAAGAATCAAATGCCTTAATTTAAACCCTGAAACCCTGAAACTGTTAGAGGAAAACAGCTGAGAAAATACTTTGAGATATTGACGTGGGTAAGTGTTTTTTCACTAGGACTCTAGTTGCTTAACAGTCAACGGGAGGGACCCAATGCAATGAAAACTGTATAGCAAAGGAAAATGCTGAGTGAAGAAATAGCCCACAGAATGGGCAGAATTCTTCACCAGCTACATACTTGACAGAGCTTTAGTATCTAGGATGCATAAAGAACTCCAGAAGCCAAACAACAAGAGATTAAGCCACCCAGCCAATAGGTAGGCTCAGGAAATGAACAAATGATGAAATGCAAACAGCCAATAAACATGAATAAATGTTCTACCTCAGCAGCAGTGCAACTTCAGAGGACCACAAATCAAAATTGCAAGAAGACTGCATCTCACCCTAGCCACAATGGTGGGTCTTAAGAAAATAAACAGCAGTAAATTGTGGTGGATGTGGCCATAAGAACCTTATACACTGCTGGTAGAGATGTGAATGGGTGTGGCCATTGTGAGAGTCAGCATGGGATATCTCCAAAACAGATATCCCATCTGACCCAGCCACACTATTCCTGGGTACTAAATCCAGAAGGATCCAAGTTGATGCATTACAGAGATGCTCACACAACAGTGTTTATTATGATATTGCTCATAGTAGCTAAGTTATGGAGCCAACCTAGATGCTCAACAACACAGGAGTGGCTAGGGAAAATATATGCACATTCGGTGAAATTTTTCCCCCATAAAGAAAAGAGCTGTATTGCTTGCAGGAAAATGAATGCAACTGGAGATTATCTTATGAAGTGATCTAAGCCAGCCTGAGAGAGACACATATTAGCTGATTTTCTCTCACCTGTGACTCCTGCTTTATATATAGATGTAAAATCATATACGTAGCTATGACAGGAAAGTAGAAACAAAGAACCTTAGGGGAACAAAGGGGCTCATGGGCAGGAGAGAGGAGCCTCATGGGAGCTGTCCTCACCATGGAGTATATAAATGTACAAAACCTTAGAACATGGAAGGAAGGAAGACGCATGGAGAGGTGGCTAACATGAAGACGGAGGGAGGGGCTTTGGGTCTCTTTTGCAGCAAAACAAAGCCTGGGAATGCACTATATTAAGTTTTATATGGAGGGATGATAAGAGTAACACACTTATCAGAGTATGGAAGTCAGCTGACAGGTAGGTGGATTCTTGGAGGTGAATGCTTGAACAGAGAGTCCCTTGACTGCACACTGAATGGCTCAGTCCTGGAGGTCAGTAGCTCAGAAGCATCACAAGCAATCTGGACATAGCCTCCACCATCATGCTTAACTACTGAGAGAAGCCAGGGATGGCTCTATAGAGCCCGAGTTCAATCCAGTCTAGCATCTGTGAGTTGCTTATGTGATAAAGTACTATAAACACTCAGGGCATCCTTCACTCGTTCAATTTCTGTTGTAGCCATTAACTGGGTTTTTATGTGGACAAGACTCTGCTGAGAACCATAAGACAAGAGAAGTAGGTCACATGGCATTTGCTGATCTACACTGCCACCCAGAAACACTGTCACTGAACTAACTAAATTTATTTGATTTACTTTTGCTGATAATGTTTCGAGAGCAAAAATTATAACAGTTCATTTCTGGTATTGTGGAGAGATTAAAGAAATACAAGTACTATTTTTAAAGCTGCTTTTGTGCTCATTGCCATGTTGGTGGTACTGAGGATTGAACCCAGAGCCTCACACAGGAAGTATGGTCCCTGTCACCGAGCTGCACCTCTATCCTTTATCCTTTTTTAAAAATAACTGCTTATAAAAATCCATTTCAGAGTAGTCGAGAGAACAACTTCAGCTCTCCATTCCCAAGGGTTGTGTCTGTCCTACAGTTAGAAGTTATTTTTCTTTTGCTTAGTACTTATTCTCCCTCCTTCTCTTTGTACATTAGACTATGTGTTCTTCATTTTTATAAAAGGTTTTGCTTTCTTCTCAGTATTCATAACTGCTATAGTTTTCTGGGTATCTAGCCAAATTGTCAGAATTCCCCAGCATCTAACCTATTAGTGTTCCTTTGGAAGCAGCCAAACATAGTGGATTACTTCCCAACTACCCCTCCCACCTGCTACCCCAGAGACCTGACTTTCACAATCCTTCATTTCTCCTGGTCCAACAGAGGCCAATGGTTCTGTTGTCTGAGAATTTCACAATGACAAATATTTGTTGATGATGATGCAGTGTCTTCTTTCTAAATCCCAGCTTGCAGTCTCCTCATTGCAAACAGTTTTATGTAAGCGAAATTAGAAGTTGTATTGTAAGTGCCAACTGCTGCACTAGGGCAGCCCTCACTGTCTATGTGACTAGACTTATATACTCAGGTGAAGGAGATGCTCTGAAAATGGGAACAGTACCACATCTAGATTCTGGAAGTTACTTATTAAAAGTAGGATTTGCTGGCTGTAGAGATGGCCCAGTGGTCATGAGCACTGACTGCTCATCCAGAGGACCTGAGTTCAGTTCCCAGTTCAATTTCTTATTATTTTCAAACTCACAGGGGCAGTTGCCATTGAGTTTTTATTTTGTTAAATTTTTTTTTTTTGAGAGAAGATCTTACCGTGTAACTCTGGCTGGCCTAGAACTCACTATGTAGACCGAGGTAGCCTTGAACTCATAGAGATCTACTTGCCTCTGTCCACATGAGTGCTGGGATTAAAGACATACATCATCATGCCTGACATCACTGTTTTACAGATAAGTTCAATATAATTTGAAAATACATGATATATTTTAAAAACATGGTGCTGACATTTGTCTTACTGTGGTTTGTTGTCTGCCTGAGAAAGGGTATAAAAGAGGAAGTTAAGAGTCAGGTGTTAACTATTCGTGTTCTGGTAACAGCCTCCAACCAGGGTTGTGCATTTATTATACAGCATATGCAGAACATTTAGCTACTTTCTCTAGTTTTGCTGTGTGTGTATGTGTTGTGTGTGTGTGTTACTGGAGTTGAACTTGGGGCCTTGTGCATGCTAGACAGGTACCTTCCTACTGAGCTACATCTCTCATCCCTTCTTTGTGTATTTTCCCAGTAAGCCAAGGAGACCATGGATGAGGTATAAGTCACGGCCATTGTAGTAGATGTGTAAGCCTTCTTATGAGGCCTTGTAGCTGTCAGGTAGGCATTTTAGTTTTTCCACCATATCCTTGAATACTGACTTACTGGAGGGGGGCACTTTCCCTCCCTTTATTTATTTATTTATTTATTTATTTATTTACTTACTTATTTATTTATACTCTGCCTCCCACCTCCCAGTCCCCTCCTCAACAATCCCTCTCCCCATACCCTCCCCCTTCTCCTCTGAGAGGGTGCACCCCCTCAGATATTCTCCTTCACCCTGGTACATCAAGCCTCTGCAAGGCTAGGTGTGTCCTCTTCCACTGAGGCCAGACAAGGTAGCCTAGTTAGGGGAATGGGTTCCACAAGCCAGCAACAGCGTTAGGGGTAGGACTACTCCAGTTTTGGGGGACCTGCATGAAGACTGAGATGCACATCTGCTACATATTATTAGCATGGGGGTGGGGATTAGGTTCAGACCAGAGGAGGATACTACTTTTAGTGTGTTTTAATGTATTTGGAAACGGTTCCTTTTTGAATTGTTTATAATTTGCTGCAGTCCTCTTGAGTTCCTGTACACCCTCCCCCAACCCCCATGCTTTTACTTGGTTCATCTTTGTGTTTCTTCAGAACATACTGGAAGAAAAATGTGGATTTAAAATATTAATTACATTTGATTTTAGACAGTTTCACACATGTAGTCAGTACACAGGCACCACTTTGTAACTTGGTTGGTAGAATGCATGCCTAGTATGCTCAGAGTCTTGGGTTCAGTCATGGGTGCTGCATAAACCAGATGTGGTGATATACAACTGTAAGGGGGGAAAAGTGTTTTAAAATTTATGTCCTGTTTAAAACCCTCAGCCTACGATAATCTTTACAAGTGAAGATTTAATATGTGTAATCACATCTTTCTTCCCGAATACACTGTTCTTAGAATGCCCCTGGCCCGTGCCTGTAATTTTGAAGCAACTGCACATCTCAGGATGGGTCCCACCTTCACACTTCCTCTTCTGTCCTCGGCAGTATTGTCTTCTGAAAGCTGTGGACAGACGCACTGGTGGTGAATCCCTAGGGGCAGGTGTCATTGGCCCTGGTTTCTCCTGGTTTCAGTATTGAGTGCTGTATGGCTCACACTGAAGGCTGGGTAGAGGAACCTGACTGGAAATTATGGTGAGATTCATTTCCGTGTGACTCAGTGGAGGACACTGTCTTCAGCTTGGTTGTTTCTGTGGTATACAGGTGCTAGTGGCTAGTTTAGGTCATTTTACTCAGCATTCTATGATTCCCTCCTCCAGATTAATGTGGATAATTTATTCTAAATTTATTCTGGCTGGGTGGTGGTGCCATGCCTTTAATCCCAGCACTTGGGGGGCAGAGAAAGGTGTCTGTGAGTTCGAGGCCTGCCTGGCCCACAGAGTGAATTCCAGTACAGCCAGGGCTACACAGAGAAATCCTGATTTAACCCCCCTCCAAAAAAAAAAAAAGGATTTAAAAATGTATTCTGCAGGTGACTCTTTAGCCTCCTACAGTTTTGGACACTTCAGAACAACCTGGTTTTCTATCTGCATGTGTTGGTTAAGGGGTTTTCTGACCCTTGAAGTTCTGCTGTATTCCTGGAAGCTTACTTAGAGTAAACACATTTAATCAATCAATTGACTATGAAAACTTTTGGTTTGTTTCCTCAGTTAAACTCCCCATCACGTCTTTCTGAGGAACAGCTGAAATGTCTTCTGGATGAATGTGTAGCCGAACAGAAACGCATTTCTCTTGGTCTTTCTTCTGAAAGAGAAAACAAAGATACTGATACAGCACTTGGGTCCCCATGGCTTTGTCCACCCACCCTCTGTGAGTTACCGGAGGAGTCCGGAGCCAAGGTCCAGAAAACCCAGCTAGACGATGCAAACAGTCTTGAGGAGGAGGGATGTGCATATTCCACAGACTCCTATCTTACCAAAGCCTTGGCTGGGCACTACAAACCAGAAGCTCTCCTCGTCGAAGTAGAGACCATGAGACACCTCCAGTTCTCCAAGGAGGAAGCTTTCAACGATGCAGCAGACTATTTTATGTCAAAGACCATTGGCATTGGGAGACTGAAAAAGCCCCCTTTCTTGGATGATCCCCTGGACGACATCAACATGAACTCCTCCTCAGACGACCAACAGTCGGAAACCAGCCTTGCAGAGAAATCAGTAATAGGTGAGGCTGGAGAGCATGCTTTTTGTGAATATTTCTTAGAAACCTCGATCTGGGGATATTTAAGTAAAAGGACAGGTGGATACAGTACTGTACTGTAAACCTCAGATACTGTCCCTACGAGTGTGCAAATCTAGGAGCACACTTACCGATGTTCTGGGAGACGTTAACATTCTTTTTTTTTTGGAAGTGAATTTTGACTTTGTTTATTTATTTTTTTAATTGGATATTTTATTTACATTTCAGATGTGATCCCCTTTCCCCATTTTCCCCCCACCCAGGAACCCCCATCCCATCCCCCTCCTCCTGCTTCTATGAGGATGTGCTCCCACTCACCCACTTCCACCTCCACACCCTCGAATTCCCCCATACTGGGGCATCCAGCCTCCACTGGATCAAGGACCTCCTCTCCCACCTATGCCCGACAATGCCATCCTCCCCTACATATAGAGCTGGAGCCATAGGTTCCTCCCTATGTGCTCCCAGACTGGTGGTTTAGACCCTGGGAGCTCTGGTATTGTTGCTGTCTCCATGGGGCCACAAACCCTTTCAGCTCCTTCAGTCTTCTCTCTCACTCCTCCATTGGGAACCCCACGATCAGTTCAATGGTTAGCTGTGAGCATCTGCCTCTGTATATGTCAGGCTCTGGCAGACCTCTAAGGAGACAGCCATGTCAGGCTCCTGTCAGCATGCACTTCCTGGCATCCACATCAGTGTCTACCTTTGGTGACTGCACATGGGATGGATACTCAGGTGGAATGGTCTCCAAACAGCCCCTCCTTCAGTTTCTGTCCTACACTTTGTCTTAATATTTGCTCCCATGAGTATTTTGTTACCCCTTCTAAGAAGGACCGAAGCACCCACACTTTGGTCTTCCTTCTTCATGAGCTTCATGTGGTCTGTGAGTTGTATCTTGGATATTTCGAGCTTTTGGGCTAATATCCACTTATCAGTGAGTGCATACCATGTGTGTTCTTTTGTGTTGGGTTATCTCACTCAGGAAGATATTTTCTAGTTCCATCTATTTGCCTAAGAATTTCTCAAATTCATTGTTTTTAATAGCTGAGTGATATTCCATTGTGTAAATGTACCACATTTTCTGTATTCATTCCTCTGTTGAAGGACATCTGGGTTCTTTCCAGCTTCTGACTATTATAAATAAGGCTGCTACGAACATAGTGGAACATATGTCCTTGTTATATGTTGGAGCATCTTCTGGGTATATACCTAGGAGTGGTATAGCTGGGTCCTCAGGTAATGCTATGTCCAATTTTCTGAGGAACCGCCACACTGATTTCCAGAGTGGTTGTACAAGCTTGCAATCCCACCAACAATGGAGGAATGCTCCTCTTTCTCCACATACTCACCAGCATCTGCTATCACCTGAGTTTTTGATCTTAGCCATTTTGACTGGTGTGAGGTAGAATCTCAGGGTTGTTTGGATTTGCATTTCCCTGATGACTAAGGATGTTGAACATTTCTTTAGGTGCTTCTTGGCCATTCGAGTTTCCTCAGTTGAGAATTCCTTGTTTAGCTCTGAACCCTATTTTTAATAGGGTTATTTGGTTCTGGAGTCTAATTTCTTGAGTTCTTTGTATATATTGGATATTAGCTCTCTATTGGATGTAGGATTGGTAAAGATCTTTTCCCAATCTGTTGGTTGCCATTTTGTCCTATTGACAGTGTCCTTTGCCTTACAGAAACTTTGCAAGTTTATGAAGTCCCGTTTGTCAATTCTTTTTTTTTTTTTTTTTTTGTTGTAAAAACATGTACTTTAGGAACCTTTATATAGATTATGAATATGGTTACATACACAAATGTTACAAATCCTAGTCCTGCCGGCCACATACATATCCATCACCCTCTACCTCTTAACATATACATCTGAACCCCACTGTACTAGGGGTGATTATACAGATCAGTATCTCTAGTCAGAAGTTTTATCATCTTCCAAAACATCTTAAAATGTTTTTCCACAAACCAATGTTCATCACTGGTAAGGCTTCTGACAGCCTTTTCCCTGTTAAGTGACCCCTCTCAACTTATATTGGCTCAATATGCATTTGGCTACTAAAGCAGCAGCTTCAATACTAAGTATATATGCAAAATCTCCCTAAAAACTCAAGAGTTAACTTTGTTGGTTTAATGTTCCAGATTTAAAGATGTAGGCAGTCAGGTTCTTGGTTTTACTTACTCCAAGATACTCTTAACATAAAATTTCACTTCCAGTAGTTCAAGACCACAGCTCTGGTTCTGAAGTATTCCCAGTTGTGCTGATGTCCTGATGCCATTGCTCTAGCCCTCTAACAATTTAATAGGTAGGCATGCTCCCTAGGAACAGCACCTCAATGTCAAGAACGGATGGAGCACCTCTTCCCCCTAAGCTTTCCATGCTAATCTCTCCAGTACTCAGTAGCCCAGTCCTGAGCTACCTGTTCAGTATATGGTGAGCTTACAAAGCCAGGCAACTGTTAGCAATCTGAATGGCAAGGATTTTCTCAGAACTTTAGATTTTCAGGAAAACCCATCTCACTTTTGGTCCTCAGGATTTTTTGAGACCAGGTTTCTTCACTTTGGGCTTAAAGTAATGCAACTCATCAATTCTTTGAATATCAAGACCCATACATAGAGCACACACAGGGATGTAGGAATTTACAATTGTGGGCTACATTTATTGCCTCACATCTTCCTAGAATGTTAGGCAGATTCCCAACATGCAGACAAGAACGGATGCAAAGAACCTACTCAGACCACATGGAAAATGTTAGCATTTAATTAACCCCTGGAGTGGCTTTTAAGCCACCAGAACACAGGCACCTCCAACACCCTTAATCTTCTCTTCAGCTCTTCTGCTGAAGAATTTGGCCTTCACAATGACAGGTTGCTTAGGGAGCTTTCCCTTGCCCAGAACTTTGTAGTAGCCAGATCGCACAACATCAATGACGGGAGCTGCCCCAGTCTTGTTTTTGGCTGCGTTGACCCGCGTCTGCTCGCTAACCAACGTCCATAATTTATCCAGGTTGACAGTTGGGCAGAAGCTCTGGTTCCTCTTCAAGTGGTAATGCCTCATACCAACTTTCCCGAAGTAACCTGGATGATATTTGTCAAAGTTGATCCTGTGGTGGTGCATGCCTCCAGCATTTCCGCGGCCTCCTGGGTGCTTGCGGTGCTTACCGATGCGGCCGTGGCCGTGGCTCACGTGGCCCCGGAGTTTCCGGGTCTTCCTCAGTCTGGATGGCATGGCGGTGGCAGAAAGGAAAGAGCCCGTTTGTCAATTCTTGATCTTAGAGCATAAGCCATTGGTGTTCTGTTCAGGAACGTTTCCCCCTGTGCCCAAGATTTCAAGGTTCTTCCCCACCTTCTCTTTTATTAGTTTCAGTGTATCTGGTTTTATGTGAAGTTCCTTTATCCACTTGGACTTGAGCTTTGTACAAGGAGATAAGAATGGATCGATTTGCATTCTTCTACATGCTGACCTCCAGTTGAACCAGCACCATTTCTTGAAAATGCTTTTCTTTTCCCACTGGACAGTTTTAGCTTTTTAGCTCCTTTGTCAAAGATCAAGTGATCATAGGTGTGTGGGTTCATTTCTGGGTCTTCAATTTTATTCCATTGGTCTTCCTGCCTGTCTCTGTTCCAATACCATGCAGTTTTTTATCACGATTGCTCTGTAGTACAGCTTGAGGTCAGGGATGGTGATTCCTCCAGAAGTTCTTTTATTATTGAGAATAGTTCTCACTATCCTGGGTTTTTTTGTTATTCCAAATGAATTTGAAAATTGCTCTTTCTATCTCTATGAAGATTTGAGTTGGAATTTTGATGGGGATTGCATTGAATCTGTAGATTGCTTTTGGCAAGATGGCCATTTTTACTATATTTATCCTGCCAATCTGTGAGCATAAGAGATCTTTCCATCTTCTGAGATCTTCTTCAATTTATCTATCTCACAGCATGTATCCATGATCTGTTCTTTTTACCTCTGAGTAATATTCCCTTGTATTGATATAGCCCGTTTTATTTATCTATCCATTTATGGACCCTTAAGGCTTTCCCCCTTTTCAGCATTAGTGTATATAATGCCGATATAAGTATTTGTCTATGAGTTTTTGTTGGATATTATGTCCCCCCCACACACACACAGTTTGGCACATGCGTAGGAGTGTAATTATCAGGCCTATGGTAATGTTTTAAGGATTTGGCAGATAGTTTTTATATTTCATATCCTACAACTTTCTAATTTCCTCCTGATTTCTTATTATCTTCTCTTATTTGATTTAATTTTTGTCCTATCTTTTTATTTTTTGTATCAAAGGTAGAAAATATATTCTATTTGTGACACAGTTTTTTCCCTCTCCTTGAAGAGAAAAAAGCAACCAGCCCTCGTCTGTCTTATAGGTGGCATTTACTTTAGGGTTCAACCTACTCCTCAGAAACTTAGAAAGCAAGAAGACACTTTTGATGTCTTCCCCTAAATCTTCACTCTCTCAACGCCACCCCCCTGCCCCCGGGTGCAGCTGGTTCTTTTTTTTTTTGAACTATAACCCTCGTGAAGACAGATATCTTATTTTCCTTATGGACTTGGCAGTTTGTGATAACTATTCTATAATATCGAACAGGTTATGGTCATTATATTATACAGTAAAATGAATGACGTAATGCTTAATAGGCACAATGATTTTTCTTAATTACTCATGTGTTTCTGATTGGATAATCACTGTGGCTATTTTATTTGCAGATGAACAGGAGACTGGGGATGCTGTGAACGAACCAGGAGGCCATGAAACATGACTTTCTAGGATTTAAGCTTAAGAAAGTTGAAAACTAATTTGCATTATATTTTTTTCTGAGTTCTTTGTATTCAGTGAATGCAACACAGAGACGACTCCTCATATGACTTCAACATTTGACTTCCCTTCTTTGCTGATTGTATTTCTTTGATGTTTTTGAAACTTGGGGTGTAAATGTTAGATTTTTTTTATCATTGATAATTCCTAGGAAATTTGTTCACAACTGTATCACTAATCCTACAATCTCCAGGGTACTATGTAAAAACCAGTGTTGTACCATATGTGTGCTGTGTTAGGTCTGGTGGGCATGAATTTGTGGGTATCTATTTGTCACATTTTTCGGGGGCAGTGCTGGGGATTGAACTATGGGCTTTGTGGACTCCAGGCAGGCACTCTGTCAGTCATCTCCAGCCCTCTACACTGGGTTTAATGTGTTTCAACTCGATGATGATCCTGGAGGCTTTTTCCTTCTTTCTGCCTCGGTTTCCCCTTCTTTTTTGTCCATTAAGTTTGTCAGTAAGAACAGCTTGCCTTGGGAAGAACTGAGTTCTGGCAACAAAGGAATGTTAGCAGAGTCTGTGCCCTCCTATTAGTGATGATGCCTCCTTTGAGGGTGGTGAGTTATTTATTACTCTCAGTTTATTGTGTTTGTCTGGAGTTCAGGCCTTTTAGTATGAAGGGAATAAAGGTGAGGTGACCTTTATTAAAAGAAAGTCTGCAGCACTATCTCAGGAGAGAAGGTTTGTCCAGTTCTGAGCTGGGAATCTGATCTGAGAAGGTTTTATGGCCACTCATGTAAGCTGAGTTGGCTTCATAGGGGGAAGTCTAGTTCATTCCTAATTCATAATAGGCTGACTGTGGCCCCGCCTTTAGTACAGTTTGGATTTCAGCCTGTACAGCATTGTTCATTTTTGCCAGCATACCTTTACTGCCCCTGCTTGACATTAATGATTGCTTACATATTTTCCTGACTTATTAAAGTGAAGAATTCGATAGCTACTATGTTCAAGGGCATCTACATTCTTATGGATATCTTTATCCAGTGTTTCTGTTTGCTTATTGTTTGTTCATTTGTGTTGATTTTGCTTTTGAGGCACAGGGGATTGAACCCAGAGCCTTGCACATGCTAGGCAAGCACTCTGCTACTGAGCCACACCCACAGCCTGCTGCTTGTCCATTTAAAATGGAAAGGGCATGCACTGATGTCCATGCACTACAGTGGGATTCATCTTAATGCCCGAGTTTTGCTGGCATCACATGCCTACAAAAGTTAAAAATTACAATTTTAGGTTCTCCCAGAATGATTTGTGGCACTCCCAGGTACTGAACAGTTTGGTGGGAACAATCAGAGGGCAAGGTGGTATGGTAGGGCATTTGGAGTGGGACAGAGAGAAGCCATTATTGGACACTGGCCTTTCAGAAGATCCAGGCTTTCCACATCCATGTTTTCCTTGTATTCGAGGTGTGTGTATGGAAGGGGTGTGGAGAGACGTAGAGGAAGGAGAGGAGACTGAGGAGGGAGGGTAAGGGAGAAATTGTTTCTCTGGGAGTTGCACAGGCTGATGACTTTACAGAATGCTTCTGCACAGAGTATTTGAGGCATAAGGAGTCTGGCTATTGCCAGAGTTCATTCAGTAAGGGGAAGAAGGTAATAACATTTAGTAATGAACTTTTTGATTAAAAGGAGTAACATTATTCCATAGCAGGTCAGCTGAAAGTGGCAAGGATGGATAAGCAAGATATACAGCATAATTTATCACCATGGTGGCCTCCTCTAAGTCAATAAAGATTATAGGAGAGGGAGGGAAGGAGAGAGGGAAAGAGAGAGGGAGAGAGAAAAAGTGTGTGTGTGCGTGTGTGTGAGTGAGTGAGAGAGAGAGGGAGGGAGTGTGTGTGTGACAGAGAGAGAGAGAGAGAGAGAGAGAGAGAGAGAGAGAGAGAGAGAGA